AAGTCTGAGCACTTCAGACCAATCAATCAACAGGAAAATCTAAACTGAATGAATTCATCCTTCAAGATTAAACCTGATCTGTTTGTTGCTCTGTTTTAGTACATCTTGTCGATAGTGGGCATAAATCTGATGTTAATAAAGCACTTAAAGTAATTCATCATACTTTCTCTCTCTCTGTATATATATATATAAACTCATTCCTGTTTACTCCGAGTGGAACTCAAGGCTTCAAGCTTCAGATTTGAAGCTTTATTAACAGTGGTGTTTTTTACGGGGTGGAGTTGCTAGCCTCACACCTAAACTTTTCTTTATACCGGGCTCACTACGGCCTGATTGAGGTGTAGAAACGCGTCAATCGTTAGTCGAACCTGGACCAAGTTCGTGGTTGGCGACCATTCTACTACTGAACCACTGACGTACACTGTAGTAATCCAACTAATAATCGGTTTTGCTTTACAGGTACGTCTGTGACGGACGTCTGAGGCCATCGGAATTAAGCTGAAGAAGCCAAATCTGTGTGTTCAGAAGATTTTCGTGCAGCCACTTTCCTTACTAATAACCACTCCCTCCCCTTCAGCCTTTTATAAGTTATCATCGAACTAACTATTTCATTATTCTGACTAGTTCATCTTTAATTGTTTATTAAGTAGTCAATTTAGACACTCACTTACTTCTCATCTACTCTTATTCTTCCCAAAATAATGCATAAGGCAACCTACTTGTTAAAGTCTTACAACTATTTCCACCCTGTATTTTGTTGTATGATTTTTGTCTGTTGATTGTCACTCCCTTGTCATGTTAACAGACTTATTATCACTAGATTGATAAATTGTTGTATTGTATTGAAAATTGCCACATATAATACAGTAGAGCCATAGACGAGAATCTGACTGAAAAGTAAATACATCCTCGCTTAATCCTCTTGTCTGCTAAAACTCAAGTTACACACTCAACTTTGAATGATTAGTTCCTATCTTATGCGAGTAACGTCTTCACCAAAGACTCAGAGGCCTTAAATGTTGTCGACAATTCTATGCATAATTTTTGTTTATTGGATATATCACGCAATGAAACTGTATTATTTAATGGATGACGATTTTTTAAACGCAATTTATTGTTCATAGTTATATGATCAATTGTAATTACACATCTTCGAAACTTAATTTTTGTAGTATCTTCTCACCCGTTCATCGTAGGGATAGTAGAATTCTCCAGATTTCCTGGACAAGTGGTGAAACATTCCCATTGTACATCGCTTCTCGGCTCTCTGAGCTAAGGTCATGTGTAGTATCTGTTCTTTACAGTTCTGCTGCGTCGGTGGCACAGTGGTTAGGACTCTCGCCGACCATGCACATGGTCCGGGGTTCATTTCCCTGCGGACGCACATCCGATATCTATGGTCGGCCTGTAAATTTGGGCTACCGATATCCATGCTGAAAATTCCATACTTGTACTGAAAATACGGTGTGGCATCAAGCTGTAATCAAAAATAAAAAAAATAAAAAATATTCTCAATTGATTCGACAAACAAAGCTTCATTTATTAATATTTCTCTCTCTCTTCACTCATTTATCATAAATACACGAATGTACAGCCTAGTTGATAACTTCGTCCAAAAGAAATTTTTTCCGCTGCAACCATCTTTTTATTGATTTTAAGATTGTCATCCATTATAATTATTATTATTCCCTTGGGTTCCGAGTGGAACATAGGGCTTCAACAACACATCTACACTTTCTTATATTTTATGCTGTCGTCTTCATTTCAGTCCACGGTTGCCCATTATCTCTCACCTACTCCTCACCACACGTTCGCCTCCATGTCACCATCGCACTGACAAGCCACTCGTCGTTTCCCATTGGGATTCCACACGAGACCATAATGAGTGATGTCATTCAGCGGTCCTATCAGCGTATGTCTGATCCGTCTCTATGCTTCTCCTCATATTTGTCGAGCAATCGGCTCTTGGTTTGTTTGCTGGCAGAGTTTCTTGTTGGTGATTCTTCTTGGCTGGCCATTTGACATTGACTATGGAGTCAGCAAGGCAGATGTTGATAAAAGACTGTAATCTAGTCCCACCTTATTGTATGGATGTGTTTAACTACATCTAATACTACAGATGAGTTATTTTCTGGATTTCATATCTCATGAGGGTCTACTAGGTTTGGATTTTGCCTTCCGCTGTTCCAACTGATCCCGTCCTAATATTTTAGCCTATGTATTTCACCTCATAACCATTGCATGATTTAGCTGAGCTAAATTATTTTGTTTAATGTGCTCCACAGAATCCTGTAACCAGCAATTTAATTCTAAATGAGCTTGTTAGTTTGACTTCCACTTTTATCCGTGGCTTGTTAAGAATTCTACATTAGGTTTCAGTAGTTTCCTCTTTGTATGGCAGCACTACTGATGTTTTAGATTTCCTCTTCTTAGTGTTGTCATCTTAGCGGGTACATTTGTCATTCATACCATCCTTATTATTATTTTATTCTTACAAATGCCTATATAAATACCGGTTAACTTATTGGGGTAATTACTGAGTATCAAAGTTTCCCTTACAAGTCTTATTTCCTGAAGTAATTTTCTTTACTAATATTTGTTTTTCTTACCCGGCCAAAAGCCTAAAAGTCTACTAGTAGTTTTCTGACATTTTTCCGTGAAAAAAGGCACTGCGAGAACTCATTTTGATGCTTTGATCTTTTCCGCTAAACACTTCCCTTATGTCTGTGGTTGTGTATGTGTGTGTGACTTCTAGCTAAGTATTAATAATGAATGCGATGAACATTATCATTTCATGAATGCGGCTAGGATTTATGTATGAGATAAATATGACTCAGTTTTGCATAAATGAATGAGACATACAACTGGCGTTAACTCAATGAAAATTATAACCGATGGAATTAGTTTATTATAGTCAAGTCCATAATAATCTCGAGACTATTTTGCGATTGGTCCACTGCCATTTAGACTATGGAAACCAAGGGAAAATGTAACCAAACCACTCCAAAAATGAGCTTCTTTCATTCCTTTGCGTTCCGAATGGAAAACAGGGCTATATGACTGAGCTTTGAAGTTAAGGCAGCAATGGCTTTTGTATACGGGGTGAGGTTGCTAGACTTTTCCTTTTACTGGGCTGACTACCAGCTAAACAAGGTGCATGAGTGAGTCGGTGAGCAATCGAACCTGGACCATTGGCGTGGTCAGTGAGCATTCCAAAAATTAAACCACCAAAGCGACATGACCAGTACAATATAATAATTACATTCTCGCAACAGAGTAGTCAAGAATTTTTCATCCAGGTATTAAGAAAATCTGAGGGAACAAAGACAGAGAGACTAAAACAGAAACAGAATGATGGGTATTTCGTCGACTGATCAGCATAGAATAAAAACCGCTAGTTCTTGAGCTCAAACGCAGTAAATGTAATCAGTTAAGTGTGCTGAGATTTACTAATTTTCCCGCCAGTTACATAATGTAAAGACAACTTTTCCAGAACTGTGAAACCATAAATAGTATTGAAAATCCGGATAATAGAAACAGTACGAGAAAGAACCATTGGGATTGCGTTAGATGGTTGTCCGAATTACCAACAAATACTTACCCAAAGATAATACATGAAACAGAAGTTGGAAATAAGCCTAAGCACTAGGCACTTGAACAACCTCAATTCTAAATTGACACCATCACCACTTTCAAGACTTGAATGCAATCATGCCGCTTCTATGCTCTCGAATAGTACCAAAGTGAAACGAAATAACACCACTGTGATCCTACAATATTCAATGAGTCTTTATCCGATGTCGATATTCGATGAAAAATTACATCCTGAAATCAGTCGAGTTCTCATTCAACCGAGTGACTCTATGTCACTCAGTTTATGAAGTCTAAAACGTTCTCCGTGGCAAGCTCTCCTCAATCCAATTCTACACCAACAGTCAACCCACTTCGTTTTCCGCCTACTAAACAACTTCGTTAAGAATATCGCTGATAATGTCACAAAGCCTGATTACAGAACACATACATTACAATTAGAAATCAAAGATCGGAGAACATCAAAACAATTTCAGACACCGATGTAACACCATTTCACGCAGTTGAATAGAGTCACTTCCAATAGAAAAAAATGACCTTTAATCTCACACAACTTGATGAAAAACATGTGAAATTCAAAGTATACCAATAACATTGGTTAATCGAAAATAAATGTGAATATCTGAGGTGTATTTCGCTTGACGGAGACACTTCTACCACTCTCATACATGATTAAACATGAAAGGTGTCGATTTCAGTATTTTTTGGTACCTCCCACCACCTCCTGTGTCTCTTTTCCTGTCCATTTCCCTTTACGGCTTCGAAACCGTCCACGAGTCGCATTTTTATCTCACCTTCGATCACATATATTATAGATTTTTGAGTATGGAGATGAAATCGTCATCATGAATTTCATATCATGAAAAAATGCTGTAACTGCTGTAACACAGTAAATTCCTAATACATGCTACTTATGCGGAAGTCGAGAAATCTCTTGAAAGTAATGGTAGACTATAAGTTTCCAGACCGTAGGTGTTACGGACTTCCTGGAATAATTTGAGCGCTGAGTCAGACTGATTCATGATAAATTATTTAAATTAATCCCAGCGTGTTTAGAAAATCAAAACTTGTTTTGATTTTTTAAAATTTATTTTCGATTAACCAATGTTATTGGTATACTTTGAATTTCACATGTTTTTCATCAAGTTGTGTGAGATTAAAGGTCATTTTTTTCTATTGGAAGTGACTCTATTCAACTGCGTGAAATGGTGTTACATCGGTGTCTGAAATTGTTTTGATGTTCTCCGATCTTTGATTTCTAATTGTAATGTATGTGTTCTGTAATCAGGCTTTGTGACATTATCAGCGATATTCTTAACGAAGTTGTTTAGTAGGCGGAAAACGAAGTGGGTTGACTGTTGGTGTAGAATTGGAGTGAGGAGAGCTTGCCACGGAGAACGTTTTAGACTTCATAAACTGAGTGGCATAGAGTCACTCGGTTGAATGAGAACTCGACTGATTTCAGGATGTAATTTTTCATCGAATATTGACATCGGATAAAGACTCATTGAATATCGTAGGATCACATTGGTGTTATTTCGTTTCACTTTGGTATTATTCGAGAGCATAGAAGCGGCATGATTGCATTCAAGTCTTGAAAGTGGTGATGGTGTCAGTTTAGAATTGAGGTTGTTCAAATGCCTAATGCTTAAGCTCATTTTGATTTGTATATGATTTGATGAAGTTTCAACTTCTGTTTTACGTTATATCTTTGTGTTTATAATTGTTAATAAATAGGACAATCATCTTACCCATTTATGTTGTTTCGTTCTATTAGTGCTTTGTGTTTCGGATTACCCACCCTTCCTCATCCTTCAAAACGTCAACCATGAATATTTTACAGAATATAATAAAATGAAATGTTGAAGAGCATGGATGGCTTTCTAACCGATGTCAGCTCATGAGGAAATCCTGTAACCAATCAATCAAAACCCTACAAGCCAATATTTGAATATGGATAATTCTATGTTGTCTGCAATCCCGTCTTTTGCGAATAAGATTTATTCGTTTCCATTGGAATACTGTTCATCTTGATTTTTACTGAAATCAATAAAGGAGGTTAGTAGGAACGAGAGGTCGCAGAAGAGATGAGTGTCAGTGAAATGATTTGTCGAGCTAAACCATGTTTATCAGAAGCGGAAGGAAATGAAGCATCATAATCCAAGTGGTTAAATTCATCTTGATAATAAGGTCTTTGTGAATGTGTTTATACTCTTTGTAGTCATTGGATTGCAGTATATTTCGTCAGTTAACTTCTCACAGCCGATAGATAACCAGATAGACAGGCTGACACAAGTAAAATGAAGAGTTTAGGGTCAAAACTGAATAAAGTAGAAATATTCCTTTGGCAGAATGTTAAAAATAAGATCCTCAGTGTTAAGCTTCGAAGACAGACAGACTTTATCAGTGCATGACTTTTGTCATATGAAAATATATATCTAGTATATTATTATTATTATTTCCCTTAGTTCCTAGAGGAGCATAGGGCTTCAGCCATGCGTCTCCATTGCGTTCGGTTCTCTGCTAGAGTCTTCACCTGGCGTCGGTGGTTCAATGGTAGAATGCTCGCCTGCCACGTGGGCGGTCCGGGGTTCGATCCCCTGCCGGCGCACACCCGATATCTATGGTATGCCTGAATTTGGGCAACCGATATCCATGCTAAAAATTCCATACTCGTACTGAAAATACGGTGTGGAATCAAGCTGTAAATCAAAAAGAAAGTTTGCCCATACGCTTTCAATTCTTCTTCACATGATCTCCTCCAGGTCACCCTTGGACGACCAACTCGTCGCTTCCCTTTCGGGTTCCACTCGAGCAGTGGCTTGTCTAGTGATGTCACTTGCTGGTTTCCTCAGAGTTTGGCCAATCCATCTCCATTTCTTCCTGCCTATTTGTTTCACAATCGGTCCCTGGTTGGTTCGCTCCCAGAGATCTTTGTTGCTGATCCTTTCAGGCCATCTGATCTTGAGTATTGAGCGAAGACATCTGTTGAATATCTAGTATAATTTAAAATGAATTTTTTTATCGACCAAGTCAGTCACCATTAGAAGATGTACAGTCCTATTCATATTTATCAAAAAAAAAAACATAACAGTGGACTACTAATTAATAAGTGGGACATATATTACTGACACAGTGACCGAGAAATAGTGTTCAGAGATATGAAGATTATGTAATTATTTCGAGAACAATGAAAAGGAGAAAGTAGATAAGTATGGCTCAAATTCGATGAAGTTAACACTTCACTGTTGGCGTAGTTGCCGACCGATATCAGTTAGGTGATCACCGAATTATTATTAGTGTCTCCTTTAATTCCTAGAGGAAAATAGGTCTTCAGCCGCACTTCTCCATTGCGTTCGGTTCTCTGCCAACGTTTTCACCTGATGCCACGTCTGCCCACATGCTTTCATCTCCTCTTCGCATGACCTTCTATATGTCACCCTCGCACTGTCAACCAACTCTCCACTTCCTATTCAGGTTCCATTCAAGTGATGGCCTGGCGCGTGATGTCAGTTGACGGTTTGTTTTCTCAGAATATGGCCAATCCACCTCCATTTCTTCCTGCATATTTGTTGCACAATTAGTTCCTAGTCGGTTCACTTCCAGAGATCCCTCCCTATTGCTGATCTTTTCTGGCCATCTGATCTTGAGTATTGAGAGAAGACAGTTGTTGATGAAGGTCTGTAGTTTGTTTAATGTGCCATTCGTGACGCAGCGCCAAGACTCTGATCTGTATAGTAGCACTGACTTCACATTGGAGTTGAAAATCCAATCACTAATTTACAATAAGCGATTATCGGTTCGGGGAAAATCTACTCTGCAGCTAATCAAATTCCTTCACAGCCAACAGGTGATGAGTCTAAAATTTGGCGAGATGCAAAACTTCTGTTTTGTTCAAAAAGCAATTGTTATGCGGCTTATTAGATGTACCCCTCATCGCCTGTGAATGCTACCTAATTACTTTCCATAATTCATCTTAATACCTCCAATGTTCTGTGGATCATTGATTAATTACTTGTATGTTTATGTGTCCGGAAATAACTTCTGGGTCATACTATGATGAAGTGAAGTAAATTATAACAACATTGACAAACAAAAAAAACAAAAAAACAAAAACAGACTTAAATTGTTGATTCTATTTCACTAAAACAGTAGAGAAATATACAATGCAAGACAAATTGATTCATGAGTTCAAGCGTGCTCTGTTCATTGGTAAAAACAACATCAATAAAAAGAAGATTGGAATAAATTTCTGACTGTTACCATCATTTTGTTCTGTTTTTCTTTTTTAGAAAAACAACTAAAAGAACAGAAAACACCTTTCTGATTTATATTTTTACCTGCAAAGTGTGTCGGTGTTCAACGGTTAACTACTCGGTAACTTTGCTGGAGGTCCAGGTTCGATTCCAGACCAGCACACTCCTACTGCTAAATCTCTCCTAGTTTAATAGCCATTGGTAAGCCTGGAAAAAAACTAAGGTTGGACAAAAGGCTACTAACGGCACCTCACGTAAACAGCACCACTGCTACCGAAACTTCAAATATTGGAGCAGTAGAAGTTAACTAGTGGATGATGACTAGCAGTGGAATCCACAGTGCGCATTTCGTCCTAGTTGGGACTCGTCCTCAGGATGTACCTGTATTCCCCAGTGAGTGCTGATGTTCCCACTGGGGTTCGAACCCAGTGCCCGTAGTTTCAAACGCCAAAGTGTTATCCACTAAACCACTTGGGCCACATCCAGCTGACAGCAAAAGAAGTAAAAACAAGGGAGCATTTTGTAGGGACAAAAAACTGGTTAGTTCAAATACTAGATAAAAAACGCTAGTGGGAATAAATGAAAAATTTAAAGGATGAACCCAACTGATTCGGACATATACCGACTACAGAAATAATTTTATTTTTGACTTCACGTTTGCACTCTATCTCTCACGTTAAGTAGTATGATGTGATAAGTAATATTGAGGTTAGACGTAGCGTCCTTATTAACTAAAGAAAATCGATTCAGATGACTAGGACACGAGTTACACATTCTAGGACATTGGCTTCCTCGTCGAAATGTTTTATCTAGAATAGGATTCAACTGAAGAAGAGTTAGGTGTGGTTAAACTAAAATATGGCAACAGCGCATGAAGTTATTTACCTGAAGTTTGAGCCACATAGAAAGCTATAGACTGATTAGCTAAAGTCGTTGAGACGCTAAGAACCGATGGTTTGAGACTGTTGGTCAGATGTCGCAAAGTTGTCTTCAGTGGCACATATACAGAAACTTTTCACGAACTCCTAAATCCGTTAAATTCTCTTTTTTTCTCCACTGAGTTCTTCTTTTCTCCGTATGTTTCTGCTCATTATAGATTTTTTTTCTTTTCTCTACCTTGGTATGCTACCTTGAATGCGGCAACCTGAACTAATACACTTTTGAGCAAAGTCCTACGCTGAAAACTAAGCCATAAATAATTCTGTCCCAAGGATCTTTGGATGACATTGCTTCATAGTGAAGTCAACACTAAAGATGTTTTCCTAGAAAACCTCACCATCCAGCCATTCGGCTCAGAAGAAAATAACTACAGCAAAATCTTCCACCTCAGCTAGTAATCTTTGACTGTCAGTGATTCTTTCTGATGGCGGGGTGCTTGAATCACTAGGCTACCTGAATTTCTATCCAACACAATGCGTAAAATCTCTATTTCTCTTTGTTATAACCATTCAACTATATTCATCGGTCATCAAAGGTATTCACGCACATTTTAAATTGACTTTCAACCTACAGTGGTGCATTTCTTGGTGATGAAAGAAAAAACCCATTAGGGATTATATTATTCTTCAGATTTAACAGCCGTGCATCACATGAGGTATTGTAGATTGATTCTTACTTTACTTGAAAACCCTAGATGAAGAGAAAATACTATGCAACAAACCATCCTGAAAATCCTGTAGAGAATAAAGCAGAATAAAGCTGTTATTATTATGATTATTGTTACTAATCTAATAACTGCTAAATGGAAAGAGAAGCTTCTACTTCATCCTACTGTCTAAACACCTTCCATCCATTTATTAATATTCTCTTTGTTAATAGTTATTTATTTATTCTGTTGTTCAGACAACTAAGAAATTAGGTCAGTGTAAAATTCCTAGCGTTATTATTACAGTTAGAAAGAAATAACAGAAACTGATACCTGGTTAATTTGGTTAATTAGTTTTCAGTGACTTGAGAAAAGAAAAACAAACTAATAATGAAGTTATTTTAGCGTGAGAAACGTATCTATTTTCTCATTTATTACGTCATACCACACACTAAACAACTGAGATGAACTCAGTGAATAAGTTGTAATGAACAGTAAGGGCCTAGTTTTCATCTTTTTTGTTAGTATGTGAACAAGTTATATGGAAACATACTCTGATACCAACTTTTGTTGTAGGCAGATTTTGGTTGCTTAACTGATAGTGATCAACAGCATAACTTCATGTTATATCAAGGACTCGTTAGTTGACTGCATTTTCAGAGGGATGAAAATTTCAAAAGTACCATTCACAAGTCAATGAACTGGCTGTCGTTAACAGATCACCTGATGGAAAACAGCTTATCATTTGAAATGATAATTACCAGATTTAAAATTACAAATCAGCGTATTTAAGGTGGCATCCAGATGATGAGTCTCT